AAATTATTAATTATGTTTCTTTTTTATAAAAGCATGTTTCTATATCATTGAATGCTTTAGCTTACTTATTAATATATTAAATCAATTGAATTTACTTTTAATATAAATTATGATTAAAGAATTTCTTATATTAAAATAAGATTCATGATTTATAATTAAAATAAGAAATATATTTCGTGCACAACTATTATGATAATTTGCTCAATAACACCATGGAAGTATGTTAAGCTATTTTTAAAAAGAGAAAAAAATGCAACTAAAGCAAAATTATAAGAATGTAGTGATATAAAGTATACCAGTTAGAACTTGATAATATTCAAATTGTTGAAGATTAGGAATATGGTACGCAATCGCTCAATGCATTTACGAGATACTATGTGTTTCTGGAATCATGATTAGTACTGGGTATCAATTGATTTTCAAAGCCAACGTTTTGTAAAATGCCGGGTGATAAGAACCTTCGATTAGGCCACCCGTTGCTTTCTCAAATCAAAAATAAGCACTCCTCACGAATAGTTTGAGCTGTTAACCCACTGCAAGTTCCTGGCGTTCTGAGTGTTCAATGAAACTATTCGAACCAGAGATATCTTTTATCCTTGTATGCTTTTGCATATGCACTTTAACAAGATAGAGTTCGATCTTCCTGGGCATCTGGCAACCTTATCTTTCAACTGCTTCATATCAGAAGGGCCGTCTAAGAGAAATAAACCACGTCAGTATAAGTATTTACGAGATTGTGTTTCAATTGCAATCAACAACATTTGCACATTCAAAAAAAATATGAAAATAGTATGGAAAACAAAATGGACCGCTATATTCAGTGAAAGAGAATGTGAAATCCGAAGTCATGAATGATACGTGCCAATCGATATTTGGAATATTTGAATGCAATCGTGTTAATAATTACCAGTTGGATTCTGATGAGTCAGCAATTGCTAATCGATTGTTAGCGGGCAGCTTATTTGACGCAAACGAAATGTTAGCCTTCCAGAGTTCAAAATCTTTAGAAAGACTGGTGATTATGGAAAGCTGTATTAACGAACAAGTTCTTGAGTTTTACTTCGCTGAACATTGCTAATAGTTGCTGCGAAGGTCGTTGTGAGAATATGTGGTGTTGGTGGTTTTTTATGAACGTGAAAAATTGATGTGCAATATATGCGCTTAAAAGGTAAGCAAAAAACATGGGGTACTATCGCTATTAGATACACGCACATGTATCATCAAATCAATCATCATCGTGTGATACTGATATACATGTATTTATAACGATAAACAGGATAGCACAAAAAATTCTGATTGTTAATAATTTTTTATTTTTGTCTTGCGTACTTTTTCTTTCCGTATACTACATGTGAATGGTTTCTTTGCTAATTTGTCTTTAGACGACGACATCATAAGCATAAGAGAAACGCAAAAATGTCTGACAGTGAAGACGAAATCATGAAGTCCGACAAAAAACACCTAACAATCCCTATCTTTAATCCATCTTCGAGTGAAGAAAGCTCAGCTTCTTCAAATTCTTCAAATTCTTTTAAAAACGTTTCAAAAAAAGGAAAGCGAAAGAAAAATGCAAAGAGAAACAAGCCAAAGAAGAAGAGTAAAATAGAAGAGTCTGACGATTCTTCGGAACTTACGGAAGAAGAGAAAAAATCCATCGAATCAATTAATCCTTCTAATTGGGATCTTGACTCATGGGGCGACATATACGTGCATGAAGTTCCCGGTGAAGGTGAAGATTATGTAAGTTGATTATGCTTTGATTAATAAAAAAAATGAAAAACTACCTCCTTATTTATTGTCTAATTGATGAATTTAGGAAGAACCTGCTAAATGGCCTGCTGATCCAGCAATTGTTGAGCTTTCTCGCAAGTATCCACATCTTGTTCTACATCCGATAGCGATAGTTCCTGGCGTTTTGTATCTCGGAAATTCTGGAACAGCTGCAAGACCTGATATTCTAGCTCGAATTGGTATCACACATATCATCAATATGTGTGAAATGCCGTGTTATTGGCGCGTAAAAGAAAATTATCATAAATTTGGATACAACGATTTGAGTCGACCTATTAAATATTTACGCGCTTATGTTGCCGATCAAGTAGGGCTTGACTTTGAACCAATTCTTGAGGTAAAAAATAAATTTTCTTGTTATTCGAACTTCAATGAATTATTGCCTTTTTATTAAAGAATTTTGCCGTCTAGAAATGTCTTGGGTTTATAAACAAGGCAAAAGAAGAAGGCGGTATCACACTCGTTCATTGTTGGGCGAGTCAAAGCAGGAGTGTTGCGGTGGTACTAGGATATCTAATCTCTATTGGAAGACGAAATTTGGGTATTGAAACAGCAAAAATCAGCAATCAGCGACACAGGACTTTAGGAATTAGTTATGTTTTGAAAATTCCAACATACAGCTTTATGGATGTTTTGTTACGACGAGCTAATATGACAAGATCAGAATTTTTGTCCGAGGTAGACGGAACTTATTCATTATATAAAATATTTTAATATAAAGGTTAATGTTTGTTTGTCTTCGTTTATAGTTTCAAAAACACATTAACATACCGATGGTCAGGAAGAAACTACTTTCCGATGATGACGAGAACGAGAGGGATGAATTTGATTTTGATATCTTTGGGTGGCCCTCTCGTGATAAAAGGCTTTCCGGTGCGATGAAGGTACGAGCATTATTTCATTCTGAAATTACTATATTTTTAACAACGATTTGATGAATTTTTAGAGGTTGGAACAAAAATGGATAAAAGAAATAGAAGAAGATGAAGAAGAGAAGAAAGAAAAAAAAGAAAAGAAAGAAAAAGAATCGAAAGAAGATGAATCGAAAGAAAATAATGAAATCAAGGAAAAAGATGAAACGAAAAAAGACGAATCGAAGGAAAACAATGAAAATAAGGAAAAGGATGAATCAAAAGAAAAGGGTGAAACGAAAGAAAAAGAAGTAAAAGAAACTAACGAACAAAATTAATTACATGTACTAGAAACCTAGAGTAGTAATCACAATACATGTATTCATGTACGTGTATAACGATAATGATGATGTCATCAATACATAATAACCAATAAATTTACTCTCAGATCAAATCGTAATACGTTCATAAACAAATACCCGCTTTCACCACTAACGTAACGCTAATAAATAATCGTTATGGAAAATAACCCTAACGCTAACGCTAATACTAACGCATGTAGTAATAAATCTGGAGATGATGAACGAGTAATACTCAATGTTGGTGGAATCAAGGTATATTAGAACATGACCTTACAAAAATAGTTTTAATATTATTGTGGTTAAAAATTCCGATTTCTTCTGTAGTATGAGACATATCGTTCAACCTTGACCGCATATCCAGATACTTTTCTGGGTGTAATGTTTCAACAACGAAATAATGAAATGTTGAAAAGCAGTGGAAATCGAGAAAATCAAGACCTAAATCAGCCAAAAGAATATTTTTTTGATAGAAATGGACGTGCATTTCATTATATCATGGAATTCTATCGAACTGGCAAGCTTTCATTTCCTAATAATAATATTTATTCTACTACTACTACTATCAATAATAATGAAAATATTGACAACGAAAATAATAATAAGAATAATTCTTGGTCCTCAAATCAACTAAACGGACAAAACAAATATCAACAACAATCCTATTTTATCAAGAGCAATTATGACAGCAGCATTCAAGCGGAAATACTTGAAGAATTAGATTATTTCCAAATTCCCATTCCAACGGATCCTCATCCACCTGCATCTGCGACAATCAACAAATTTATCTTAACTTTGCAACAAATTATCCATGAAATGGAAGCTAATCTTATCTCACGAGTAGAACTTAATTTTCCGCGGCCGGACACCTCGAGATTCAGCCTTAACCCAAATCTTGAAATAATTCATGAGATATTGGCACCGTTTATCACAGTTACGGGATATAATATCTTGGATGCGTTTGGTGAAGAGATTATGAAATATCTAATGAAAAAGACGCCCGGTTTTTTTTGTTCTTTGGCAAATGAAATTTATCCGCCGAAATATTTAGTTGTTATGCAGTTGCCGCTATCCCCTTCGAGAGAAATTAGGAATGGCACTTTTCTTGCTGAACTGGAAGAGGACGAGGAAAATAATGAGGAGGATTAGAATTTTTCGGATCATTAGGCGTAAACTATTTAATTATTATTTATCAATTGCTTAATATAGTTTTGAATCAACATACTTTTAATTTATAACTTTCATTTAGAATCCAATAGTTTTTATAAATAGAGATATAGATAAAACCAAATACCTACTTAGAAAGTAATAAAAAAAATACATTTATGATGATGCTTAAGAAGTGTGTGTGTAATTTTTGACGCGCGTAATTATCACGTTTCTATGCAGATCTGGGAGAATGAATTATTAACCACAAGGATCCACTTCTAGTCCCAGGGAGTAAGCCCAGTGTCAGCAAATACTAGCTCCTTTGAAGGCTGATTAAGTGCAAAATAACGAAGAAGGATGTTCCGAGTACCATTAAAATCTCCGTCGACTTTGATCCGCCTAATTTTGATAAAGGAAACTATAAGAAAAAATTCCCTGACTATCCACCAAAAGAAATTATTTTAAGTTCCTAAAAGAAAAAGTAAATACCATATTGACTGGAGACTTTATAAATGTACTCTCCGTACATAGAATCACCTTGCACTAGAGTGTTCATGAACTTTATGCAGAAGGTGCTGATGAAAGCGATAGAACGATGCTACTCACAGAAGGCAACCATCTACGAGAATATGTTCCACGGTGATGCTTGTAGCAGTTCACGTTTTTGCACTTTCCCACGTTTACTATGGAATTTAGCATAAGTGATAGATACGAGAAATATCATTTTCTGCCCACACTTTATTGTTGGTCCACTTGGTCATATCCAGTCCATACGAGAACTCAAGAAGGATTATAACTGAGCTTGCCTTTCAAAAATAACAAATAAATATAAAAGAATTACCCCTAAATAACAATGTATAATAATCACCTTGTTTTTACAGGAAATTGCCTGTAATCCGTTATCAATTACAGATGCAAAACCCTGGATTATAACCCTGCATATGCCCGAATATTTTTACAGGGTTTTATATAACATAAAGGTGTTTATTAATTATTACATATTATATATCACACACCGTCACCACCAACACTACCATCATCAACACCACCATCATCAACACCGCCACTATATTAATACCATTACGGGCCTGGTACGAGATCTAAATTCAATCCCGTCAGTATATAAGCCCGGCATCTTGAAATGATGAAATTCCGAAAGAATGGCATCTCGAGAGAACGAACGATATCCTAATGATCGTGTCCGTGACTCTTATAATCGCTTATAAAAAAAAGAATGGAAATAATTATCCTGAATGTTGACCCAAATGAGCGAAAGGATTCAAGTACGAACGGCATCCTGAGCGAACGAATGACATCCTGAATTAACGACATCCCGAAAGAACGGTATTCCGAAAGAACGAAATCCCGAAAGAACGGCATTCCGATGCACGTTCCAAATGCATGGAATACTAAAATTTTACGATTTCGGGGTTTCGTGCATTCGGGATTCGTTTGTCTGGCATATGAGTTGTCAGGATTGTGTTTGTCGGGATTTTGACCACTAATATCACTACCACCATCACTGGGACTAGAGAACATTGATATCGAACATTTGCACCAAATACCATGTGCATAATAGTTGATTTTGCGCATTTGTTCATCACTAACACAAATCACAACAGACTTTTTTTTGTGAGTAAATTTAAAAGGATGAGTTTTTGATATTGTCCACATTTATTAGCGTTAGATAATCTCGATCTCACGCAATTTTTTAATTGTTGATCCCAGGTGATATACAGTATATCATATTACAGTTATCGTTATGTACATACACCAATTGCAAATTACGGGTGATTGCAGGATCAATACCAATAAAGTTTCTCAGGATTATTCATCACAATTATCATAATGTAATTTTTCTGTGAGAGTTCAATGAGATTTGAGAGAATTAAAATAGATTTAAACTCCTTCTTATAACGGAACTTTATATTGACCTTTACAATTTGCAGCGAAGCTTTCATCCATATATTATAAGATATTTTTTAACACGTTAAAGTCTTATAGAAAATTTTTAGCATTAAGATACTCCTTTTATTCGCTTGACAGCTTTTTTTTTGCAGCAAAAATTTAATTATAAGTCCATCGCCATTGCTGAGCTTCTTCAGTCATTATTCTGGATAGGATGTGCGGTGTCTTGACTGCTGAAAGCATCTCTTCCTTCTTCCTATTGTCCTTGACTCTTTTGGATGTATTCTCGTTTTCTTTGTGATTAGCAAACAATTACTAATTTAAAGCAGGTCTACGAAATCCTGAAAAACACAATCCCGAAGTTCATAAGCCTGACAAACCAAATCTTGAAATAACGGCATCTTGAATGAACGACATCCCGAATGATCGAAATTCCGAATGCACGAGATTCCGAAAGTATAACAAATGTATGGAATTTCGGGATCATTCGTGATGTCATTCTTGCGGGATTTCGATCTTTTTGGGATACCATTCTTTCGGGATGCTGTTTATCGGGCTTTTGAACATTCGTGATTGTGCTCTTCGAGATTTTAAACGTTATCAATTAAAAACATTATAAAGGGAATTCCCGTGTGAACTTGACTAAATTCTTATTTATAAAATTATAGGAACCCTTGCTATTTTCGAAATTTCTTATGTAAAAAAGCTCAGTTTACGAGGCAAAAAGTAGAAATAATTATTTTTGGTTTATTATCAAACAAAACATTGTATATTGCAATAATCAACAATCCGAAAAAACTACAATACAAAATTAGACAATATACTCGAAAATTCACGAAATGTCAAAGATTTTGACGAGGTGATTCTTTAATGGCGAATCGCATCCAATAATTGTCCCAAGTATTTATTAATTTGACGTCTAGAATTAACAATAATGATAAATTGTAATCGTGACTTTTCTCACGTATTGCGAAGCTATGTAGCCATTGATTTTGCTAATTATGTAGAAAAGGTTGATGTTGCTGTTGATGAAATTAAAAAAAGGTAATCTATTTTGGAGGTCAAACAATTGCTATCAAAACAGACGGCGCTTCGATTTTCGCAGAAAGTAAAATCTCATTTCCATCATCCCGACATCCTCGTCAATAACACTGGTGCTTTCACAATGAACCAACTATTGGAGAAGAGGAATATTTAACACAAATACAAGTGCAACATTCTTTAACTGTTAAAATGATTAAGGTCGTATTTAAGTTTTTCGACTGGTGATGCAGTCACTGATAAACACCACTTAGTTTTGCTAGAGTTGGGGCATCTCGAACACCACAGTTCCAAAGCTCATTGACGGGTCGTTCGTTGATCTGCAAGCGAGATTTTTTCCATTTTAAGGCAAAAAAACTAAATGGTGGTGTTTAAAGGTTTTGTTTTTAAGTTACAAACGGTCATCAAAAGCTGGTTTCATTGGTTGGATGGGTCACACTCGATTCACAAAAAGTTACACATAGAATTTGAATCTCTACAAGTACATACACGTATATAACAACGAAACGAATATCTCGTTCTTTCTATAATTTCATCCAATTCACGCATTTTATAAAGTGAACTAAAGATGGAATCAAATACTCACGATTGCAGTAAATGTACTAAATGTCAACAAAATTGGTGTTGCAATGACTGTTTCCAATATCACAAACGAATTTATAACGATGAATTGTCTAGCGGAGACAAAGACATCGACAATCTAATTGTAAATATCAAAATATCTTCGAATGGATTCCTTTTGAAAGATTTACCAACGTTGAATATCTTGCAAAAGGAGGTTTTGGGTCAATTTATAAAGCAACCTGGTTGGATGAACCATTGTGTTATAATGTTTACTATCCTAAATGGGATCATGAAGAAAATAAGTTTTATCGAAAAAGAGAAGCAAAAGTTCTGTTGAAAACATTGCACAATTCAAAGCAAATTACTCAAGAGTTTATACACGAGGTAAAAAATGAACATTTTCTAAAGTGAAAATTAACTTTTTGTTTTCTGATACAATCAAATTTTTCAATAGATGAAAACGGAGCTTAAATGTTATGATTACGGCAACTTGATAGCATATTATAGAATGACTAAAAATCGAGTTACAAACGAATACTCAATCGTAATGCATTCATACTTTGGTGAACTTCACAAATATAAAGTGAACTCAAAGATGGAATCAAATGCTCATGATTGTAGTAAATGTACTAGATATCAAAAGAACAGATACTGCGATGAATGTTTAGTTCACAATACTCATGATTGTAGTAAATGTACTAAATGTCAAAAGAACAGATACTGCGATGGATGTTTAGTTCACAATACTCATGATTGTAGTAAATGCACTGATTGTCAACAAAATTGGTGTTGCAATGACTGTTTCCAATATCACAAACGAATTTATAACGATGAGTTGAGTAGCGGAGATAAAGATATCGATGATCTAATAAAAGGATGCAATAAAATTAATTATAAACATCCAAATATCTTCGAATGGATTCCTTTTGAAAGGTTTACCAACGTTGAATATCTTGCAAAAGGAGATTTTGGGTCAATTTATAAAACAACCTGGTTGGATGGACCATTAAACATTTACATTACCAAGTGGGATCATAAAAAAAATAAATTTAGACGAAAAGAAGAAGCAAAAGTTGTGTTAAAATCATTACACAATTCAAAGCAAATTATTCAAGAGTTTAAACACGAGTAAAAAATGA